TGCTGGATGCTTTACTTGCTTGGCAATCATGTTGTCTCTATGGCTGAAGCCAGAAAAGAACAACTCAAGTCATAAAAAGATATCTTAAGGTATTTGTTCTGCAGATAGCATATTTCTAGATTTTACAGGCTTGACACTCTTTCTGAATAGATAGACTGATACACTTTGCAGTATTTAACCTGTCCTGAAATAATGATTATCTTCTATCTGTTGAGCATTTTCTCATTTTACATATGTCATCAGATGACATTTTCTCAGGATTTAATTATCTGCTGTAATTTTTTTTTTTTTTTTTTTTTTTTTTTTACTAATGTGTCTTGGTAAGCGGAAAGCCTATCAATTGCTCACCCCAAACTGTGACATGACTTTGCATCCAGGCTTGAACTTGATGAGTGCATTTTGCTCTAATAGCTCACTTGAGTTGGAAGCATTTCAAACTCCTTAATGTGGAAACAAAAAGAAACTTAATTAAAGTGAAGGTTTCCTGTTCTCATTTTACATATATCAAAGTCATCTTGGTTGCAGGCTTTCTACAAATAAGTTACTCCTTCAGGCCTTTCTCATAAATAAAATATGTAAAATGTTGTAATGTATTCGTTCATCAATATGTAGATTTTTTTTTTGATTTTTTTTTTTTTTTTTCAAAGATTGAAAATATCACTTGGTTCATTAGCTGTAAATATCTCTCCATTCTATCATGAAAAATATTTATAACCTTAAAAAGAGAATTCAATTTCTATAATTTTGTGGTTTCCTGCTGGATCTTGATCAGCCTTGAATAAGATTTTCAAATTGTATTTTACCACTGGCATTTTGTTGCTATTTTTTTTCTTTAAAATTCCTGTGCTGAAATGATGATTGCTTAATATGCTTGTTGTTCAATTAAAATAGAGGCTTGTTTCCATTTATGATTTTCTAGATTCTCACATGTTCTGAATTGTCAATTGTATTTGAACACTGATTTGATGAATCTGCATTTTTCAAACTTTTATCACTCCTTGTGCCTAATTATTTGTAGAATCATCTTTTTTGCATATATCCATTAATGATTGATAATATTTATTCAAGATAAAACATGATGATACATCTTTCTATTTAGTCCTTGTTAGTCTGTGTTCTATATCATCTTTAGAATGGTTATTAAAAATCTTTCCTATTTAAATCTCTCTTCTATAATTCCTGTGTCAAATGACCAGATTGAACTTTGCTAAAATGGATGTACTGCAATGGTGACATTTCTAACTTTTAACCACTTGTTACTACAAAAAAAAACTTGTCTACAGAGCGTTAGATATTGTTATCAATTTAATACCTCTATTGAAGACTGAATTTCTGTTGGTTGTTAGTGAATGCTTTAAGCAAATCTTTGCAAATTTGCTTTCTAAGATAAAATGCAATGCTGCTTTTTTTTTCCTTCAATAAATTTAATTGATAAAAATTTTTTTCCACTCAATTATTTTTAAATTCCAAATTTAAATAAATTAAAATCTCATTATAAATCTTACAGAAAACAATTTCCTTGATATTTATAATTTTAGCAAAACATCCATTCCAACAAAACGTTTTTACTCTTATAATTTTTAAAATATCACTTTGTACATCTTACTACATGTAAAATGTCTACAAGATTTTTATTCTTGGCTAAAAAAAATACTTTTAAAATTTTTATTTAAGTCCAATTCAAGTTTGCCTTGTGTATTTTATAGCTTTAGATTATCAAATGAATGATTGCCATTAATTCTTGTCTGTAAAAATGTTTTTTTTTTTTTTCTTTTTAACAAAACATTAAAAACAACAAAATGTTTATATGAATCTGGAATTTAATCAATATTAGCTTGACCCATTCTTTTAGCGATTTCTCTTGATTTTTAGAGCTTTTAGTGCTCTTCAGTAATTTTAATATTTTGGGGGTGTTTTTTATCTTTTTCTATAAAGTAAACTTATAACATTTTCTTTCTGCAACAATCAATGTATATTATTTTTTTTATTTTATGTAATGAAGCTTTATCATCTTTTGAACCTAATTCTTTCATAGTCATCTGTTATTAACTGGTTGTGGTGGTGCATCTCTTTCTTATCCCCTAATATACTTTTAGTCCAATCTTTACTTACCAATCAACTTTCATATATACCAGTGTATAAGAGGACTTCATCTATAGTGCAAACCCTGAATCTTTTTGCATGAACTTTAATCCCAACAGAAAAAAATTACCTATGTATAGTGCGACTCCCTATTTTTTTTATTTTTTTTTTAAATTTTTACCATAAAAAAAAACTGATCATAAAACTTGTGCTCTACTCATGTAACTACAGTATATTGAGGAGCTAAAAGTGCTAGTCATATGTCTTACTCAGTTGCCTTTCCCCTCTTATTTTTTGACCTACAATTGGTAGCACATATTTTGCTTGTTCTTTTAGGTTACCAGACAGGTTTGATTTGATTTTTTTTTTTTTTTTTTTTTTTAAATACAGTAGAATTAACTTGCACTTGTTTGGACAACTCAGAAATGCTCAACCAGATTTTACTGGTTAAATACTTCTTGTTTAAGGACCTGTAAATTATATTATTAACAAGTTTACTTTATAGATTAATTTCAAAGACTAACTCAAACAATTTCTTTGCCATATTGTATTTATTATATACTTGCTTATTCCCTAAATAACTTGCATCAATTCCATGGCTTGTACCATCCATCCACTCACCCATTATCATCTCTTTCCAAATTGGTAGAGAAAATTTTCATAAGTACTCTTATATAATACAGCTCGGTCTTTTCTTTGGCTTGATAAATTCTTTTTTTTTTTTTTTTTTTTTTTTTTTTTTTTTAACTTTATTGAACAATAAAAATGCAAATCAACTTATTTGCTCCTGTATAAAATGTGCTATTTATTAAAGGTTAAGAAAATCTCAATTTGACCCCTGAAATTGCTAAAAGTTTCATTACCTTTATTCCTTACTATAAAGAGCAGGAGGTGGGGTATTAGCTCAACAGAGAAGTGGAGATTTTAGGGAAAATTGATTTATTCAAACTTAATCCTGAGAATTAGCAGTGTGAGAGAATGAACAAGTCGTGCAGGTGTTGCTAACAATATTCAATACCAATAATCTCCATTTATGTCCTAAATATCTTTATTCTTATGGAATGGATATTTTAAAATAAAAAAAAACAGTTAATTTTTAGGTCAGAAATATTCAGATTGCAAAATAAACCTGTTCCATTTCTGCTTCTACTCTTAGTTAAAAACCATCAGATGGCATTTGTTCTTGTTTTAATTCAGAAACTTATCATTTTGTTTTTCTCCACAAATAGATATGTACAAATTGGATGTTATGACCAATATTAAAATACTACAAGCAAACAAATTAGTAAAAAAAATAAATAAATAGAAAAAGCAATTTTAAACTTTAAGGAACTTTTGAAATGTCTCAGTTAAAATATAAATAATTTTCACCTTTGCTATTTCAAGATGCCAGGATGAGATATACATGTGCATATGTTTATGTATTTTCAGAATATTTACCTGTGTGTGTGCGTGATATACAGATGAGTAGTAAATGTTCTGAAAATGACATTGGAAATATCAAAGCATTAAGAAAAATTGTTAATCAAATACTGACTGCCTAAAAAATTTTTTTTATTTTTTTTTACTTTATATAAAAGAGGGGGAAAAAATTAGATGCCATAATTGGAATGCAGATTATTTTTCTTTTTGCTAAACCAAGAACACTTCCCCACTCCCCACCAATTATTGATGTGTCTTATTATTCAGTTGTATTTTAATTTCACACACATTTCTCTTTCATTGTTGTTAACTGTACTTTAGATTTCATATCTACAATATAATCGCTAAAATTGGCATTTACTTTTTTTTCTTTCTTGTAAAAAAACCAGTAGACAATCTCTCTCACTCTCTCTTTCTCCCTCAGCAGAAAGTAGGGCTATAAAATGTTTCTATTTGTTCTTCCATCATTAGTTACTTATTAATTACACTGATTAAGACTTTTCTTTTCTTTTTTTAATAAAATTACCAACTGATATGCATTTGTAATTTACCTTCTAATAACATGCATTGTCCAAAAGCAACAAAACTGATAACTCATCAGTTTATTGAAGTACGTAATCTGATTAAACTTTTCTGGCTCCTTATGCACAGCTAATGAATATTATTTCATTCATTCAAGCCCCTCTACAATTTCAATAATTCCTCAGTGTTTCTCGTATCTTTCTCTGGCAGTAAGAAAAGAAAAAGAAAAACTTCATATATCCACTTCCTGTAATTGGCTATAAGGAGCCACTCAGTGTCCTCCAAATATATATATATATATATATCGGGGGGGGGGGGGGCACTTACTACTTAACAATTTACTCTTTATATAGATATATATCATTTAACAGCCAAAGATTTGCTAGGCTCCAAAATGTAAATAATTGTTTTGAAATCTTCTAATTCAAACCTCACTAATTTTAATACAAAATCTCCTCCCCACCCAAATTAAAAGTATTCCTAATTTAAAGCTTAAGTTTCCATTCAGTGAAAATTATTCAGATCACCAATAGAGATTTTTAATATTTCTCTTGACCATGATTTCTAAATAAACAAGTTTGAGAAATAGATGTTGGTTTAAAAGAGTTAATAATGAAATGTTTCTTTTAAAAACCTTCATGTGGCTGGTAACTTTTTTTTCTATTCTCTTGGAAAATAGTATTTGTTCCATTATATTCCTTCATTTTTCTTTCTTTTTATTAGCACGCCTGTTAAATGAAAAAAATTACCTTTTCTTTTTAAGTATTTTTTTTATTTTTTTATTTATTTATTTTTTTTTTTTTTTTGTATTTTTCTCTTGGCAAGGAACAAATGTTCTTTAAGTAATTGATAAGTGTATATATTCACTCAGATCAATTTTTGATCTAATAATCTGAATGCTAAACTTGTATGAAATGTCTTTTGTTTTTTTGTTTTTCTTTTGTTTATAGTTTTTGCTTCTTTCTCTCCTTCAGACGCCAGAGGAACATGAAGCAGAAACGAAAATTAAATCTAAGGAAGCTAGAAAATATATTTTCAACTGCTTGGACGATATGGCGCAGGTGAGAATGCCCCGGAGCTTCACACAAGACAAAGGGTTCGCTGTAAGCTGTCTTAGTATAGTGTTGTTTAGTTCAGGCATGTAGATTAGTAGCCAGCTGTTCGCAATTTGTTATGACTCGCCATCAACAACTAATTCTAACCACCCACCCCCGCACCTCCTACCTCTCTCAGCTGCACCATCAGCTGTGACCTCTTCATGAAAATGAATATTTATTTATTTTTTTAAATTTTTTTTTTTTCATGATCACAGACCCTGGTTTTCTTTCTCATTTAAGGGAAAATACAGATGTAAACAATTTGAAGAATGACCTTCCTTCTCCCCTGTCCCAACCTTGATATAGATAGAATTATTTATTTTCCCTAGCAACAATAAAAAGTAAATTTGTTGTCTCATCCCAAGTTTATGAAGGAACCCTCTGCCTCTGGAAATAATATTGTTCATAATGGAATTCTAATTGGCTTTGTCAGGTTTCCTTAATAGCCCATCATCAGAGTTAAAGTGGAATTGCTGTTACTACTGAGTATCAACCTCTAGTTGTTTTTGTTTTTTTTTTCTCATCTTCCGGGATCAGAAAGACATGGTTAATTTTATTTTCTGTAAAATCTATATTTGTCAGTGCCAGAAGAGTAGAATATATTTTCTACCACTTCAACTAATGGCAGAAAGATATGAACTATTCTTATTTCCAACAAACTTTATTGTTGTTCATTGTCTACAAAGCCAAGGGAAATGTTTCATCCCCACCTCTCTAGTCAGCTTCCTCCTTCAAATAGAAAACCAGTTTTGTTAACATTGTTCCCTGCATAATATGAGCTAAAATGAAACTGAAGCTTTTAATAAATAAAATTTCTCCTCACTAATCTACTAGTATTGTTTCATGTTAAAAAAAAAAAAAAATTGATGAGTTGAAGGCAGTAAAATGTCAACATACATTTCAGTAATTTCAGTGTGAAAGCAATATAACTGTTGCTTTTAACAAAAACTAAATGGGATGTTGAACTGTAGTTTTATTTAATATAATTTAAATTAAAAGCTATTCATTTCTAATAGTCACACAGCATAAAAAATCCATGGCATTTTAAGTTTTTTTTTTTTTTTTTTTTTTTTTGAATTGAGAATTTAAAATTTAAGTTGTTTTTAAAATTATTAATTCAAACACTTATCATACAAACAATATAAAATCATAACTTCTTGATTTTCAAATATCCAAGTAATTCCATATCAAACATCATTTAACAAAAATCACTTTTTCGATGAGTCTTTTTTTTTTTTTTTTTTTTTCTATTTTTATGAACAGAAGAAATGGAATAAATTCATTAGAATTATTTTCCAACCATTTCATGTAATGCCCTTTGTCTGAAATGACAATTTTATTTCCATATATTTAATTGTATCTTTTCTTCTGTGATTTGTTAACCAATCCAAAGATTAAATATTTCCACTTGTTTCATGAATTTAGTTTTTCCCCTTCACCAGGCATGCAGTTGCTTTTCTTCACTGTTCAGCTGCTTTGCCTTCAAAATTTTTTTTTTATTTTTTTTTTATTTTTTTTGTAGTGCAGAAACCTTATCAATTATTTATTTATCTATCAATATTGTTTTTTGTTTAATGCATTTTTTTCATTCTGCCTGTGGTCAACTCTTCATTGTCTATAGAGGGTTTATTTTTTATTTTTATTTTTTTAAGAATTTTCCAGACATGCTTTCTCATTTGAATTGGTAGTTGTGTTTGTCAACTGTCATTCTATTATCAAATGGGTATTGAAAATCTTATTACTTTAAAAAAAAAAATAAAAAGAAGAAAACATACACACATTATTTGCTGAAGGTTAGTTTTAATAATGTTGGTGTGTTGAAGCACTTGTGATAAAAGTAATACAAACACTTTGGTAAAGTTAATTTTTATTATATAATAATTTTACCACAGTTTGTGTTATTTCTATTACAAATGCTTGTAAAATCTCTTCTCTCCAGAATTCCCTGGTCTCTGTGGTCAAATGTTTCTCTTTGAAATGTTTCTCTTTAACATTTATCATTAAAGATATATATATATATATATATATATATATATATATATACATAAAATATATATTAAAATGTAATCCAATTCAGTGTTGGGAAAAAAAAAAAAAAAACTTTGAGTAAGGAGACATTACTTGACCACTCCTTGCCTGTTTTAGTCCAGTTTTGTTCAAACCTATCTTGCCCCCATTGTCCCCCCACCCTTTTTGTGTTGATGCCTATCATAACCATTTGGTTGCAGCTTGACTTTATCTTGAATTATAATGTCACAATAACAGCAGAATTTGTTACTCTTTTCCTCTCCTCTGTTCTTTAAGGAAATTTTCTTTCTCTCTTTGATCTTTTGATGTGAATAAAAAAAAAAGAATCAATGAAAACATTTTCAATTCAATACTTTGACATATTGAAAATCAGAAATTTATAAAAACTACTTTCTTGAAATTGATTTCCACATATTTTACATTGATAATTTTCTATTAAAAAAAATAAAGAAAATTGTTTTGTATTCTTTCCAATTCTCTTTTTTAGTTAAATTACTATTTTATTTTTTTTTTAATTTAGACATTTTCTGGACTTTTCAGCTTGACAAACTTCTGCTTATATTGTTTGGCAAAATGTCTTGAAATTTGTTATTTGTATTTTGTTCTCCTCAGGCTTTACTCTCTTTTTATTTATTTCTATTTGTAAATTATTATAAAACTTTTCTTTTCTTTTTTTTTTGTTCCTTGCTTTAACCAATTATTTGCACATGCTTTCATTGTGTACATGTCTGTATGAGAATGAGAGACTCAGTTAGGACTACTGCATGTTGATGTCTTGACTACACATAGTGTGTGTTTGTGTGTGTGTGTGTAGATAAGCATTGAATTTTGTATTATGTGGAGACTTGCATTCATTTTCATTAAATGTATTTTTGCTCTGCACAATGAATTTGTTTCTCCCAGATTTAATTTTATTTTTTTATAGAATTTTGAAAATGTATTTATTGATTTTAGTAATTATTTCAGAAGCCAATGTAGAAAATATTGAAATACTTTGTTTGAACTAGCAATAAAAATGAAATTTCCATTTATTTTTCTGCCTTATATTTACAACCTAGATACAATTGTGAAAGATTGGGAATAATCATCTTAAAATTCATCAATTTATATTATGTAGGTTGCCAAATAGTAAACAATGAGTTGTTTATATGCTCTCTTTTACATCCAGTAAAAAAAAAGGTAGAGAAAAGGATCTAGCATTGGATTTAAGTAGGAAAAGACTTCTAAAATAGGATTTCTGGATTGCTTTAAATTTTTAATTTTAACCATCTTTACTGCAGTATATTAGTTTTGAACTATTTAAAAAGAATTTTGATATCTAAGTTTTACACAGATGTCTTCAAAATTAAATTGCCAGGATCCTATTTTTGTTTCAAGATAACATGGGTGAAAAATAAGCAGTAGCCAGAAAGTTTGTTCGATTTATTAAGAAAAATATTTTTGGCATTAATAAACTTGACCATTGTATTTATTATTTTGTTCTATCTTCCATCTACAAAGAAACTTGATAATAACATCACAAAGTTTTTTTTTCTTTTACAAAAGATAGACAAATTTTTGTTCTGATCTTGGTTCCTTTTAAAGTTTTCCAGAGAATTGAATTTTTTTTTTTTTTTTTTTAAGTAAATTCTGTAAAGATCAAAAGATAGCAACATTTTTATGGTGAATGAATGAAAACATCCCAGCTAAACTATAACAGCTTTTGCCTGATCCCTAAAGAAACTTGTGGCCAAGCATTATCCTGATGGAATATTAGTCCATTTCTCTTAACTAATTCCAGATGCTTTTCATCCTTTACTATCTTCAGTTAATTGGGAACATTACTTGTTTAAATCACTCATAGAATTCTCTTGAAAGAATTTATGGTAAAGGACAATTGCTGTCCAACCATAGTCCATGACTTTTAGATTGTGATTGGACTTAAGTATGGCTAGTCTTGATTCATTTTACTTGTTGCACAATCTCTTGCATGTCATATTAACTATCCACTTTTCATCACCAGTCATTAAAAAAAAAATGTTAACAATTTATACACACACACAAAAAAAAAAGTAAGTCACTTTTTCACTTTGAAGAAGCCACACATCAAAGTGACCAATATAAACAAGCTGTTGCAAATGAGTTTTGATGCTTGATTTAGCATTTATATATTAGTTTTGGATCACTGCTGCTGTGAAACAACCAGCTCCTACTGTGGATGAAGCTATATAAATAAATGGTCAACAGCTGAGTGACATCAGGTGTTCAATTTAATGAGTTAAGTCAGTCATCATGACTGTGACATGTTGTGAAAGACATGTGTTGCAGTTTAGGTAACCAGAAGTGTTTTATTTTTGTTACAATATCAGTTAGATATAATTACATGGAAAACCTGTGATTTCGACATCATTTTAAGAATAATTTATTATAATCTATAATAACAGAGGTGACTAGAAATACTAACTCCCAACCTCATCTAAGCTACCTAACCACAAAGCATTGTGATCAACAAGAAATCTCTGGCACAAAAGATAGACAAATCACTTTTGACGTTCACTAATTCGCAATACCTATCAACAAAACTTTTTCTGTTTGCATTTTATATCTAAAAAGGCCTAATATGATGAAAATAGTTGCTCATTTTCTATTAATCTCTAATACTAGAATCACTAAACCAAAATATACCAGAGTTCTGTCCCCATACCCAATGTATAATGGCCATCACAATCCACTCAAGTGATCTTTTCTTTTTCTTTCTTTTTTATGAAGTTCATTAAAACTGAATGCTCTTAATGTCATCTAATGCAAAACATTTCAGGTTCATTAACATCTATTGTTTGTTTCACTTGTAATTTTTGTGATGAGGGTTAATACTATTTGATAAATAGTTTGAAAGATTTAGGACTAAACATGTTGAAGCATGTATTTAGTTTTGGAATTTTCAAAAACTTTCAACAAGATTTTGATGTATACTCCACGTATAATGCTAAATTTGACTC